ATTTTCTTGAAATATTTTAATATCTAGAGCTGATGGTGAAATTAGACATTTTACTTTATCTTTCCTATATTTCCATGATTTGTCATTCCATAGTATTATTTCTACATTGTCATAAGGAGCCATGAAGATTATTTATCTATTATATAAGTATAAGAATAAACCTTTCAATACACTAAGAAAAATGGAAAAAAGAAGCAGCAGCAGCTTACTTTAAATCCTTTATACATACAGAAGTATAAAAAAACTTTTGGCAGAAGTAATAGCCAATAAGGAACAATCATGTTTATTACTAATGTCTTAGTAATTTCAAAGAGTTGTAATTTTAATTGTAATTTTTAATATAAAAATATTGATAACCTTTATAATCTTTATATTAAAAATCCCATCTACAATTGACTCTATCACCAGCACACATCATAACGTAATAAATATAACTCATAACATTATATCACATTTAAAACTCTGATTGTTGAGTGAAGTCTTGGATCTTCTATAAATGGAATAAATTATAAATATTAATTAAATAAATCATTATTTGAATAGAACTGACTATATATCAGAATGATGACCTGGATGAAATATTTATTTAGACCCCAGCTCCGCTGGGAGACATAACATACCTAAGATAAATAGATCTTCTTTTATAATTTTATTGTATACAAGGTTAAATTTATCAGATGCATTATAATTTGTTATCAGATAAATGATAAATGATAAATCATAGATGATTATAATATAGTGATATAAAATTTATATATTGAGTTTCCAAGGAAGAATGGTGGATTATATGCAACCAAAAAGAATGACTCACTAAAAGATACAAAAAAGTTTAAATAAAGGAAAAAGGTTTTTAAACATCTTCCTTAAACTGGCCAAGTCCGTTTGGCAGACAAAATGCAGTGATACCAAGTTATTATTTTGAAATGCAAGGTTCAAATCTCTCCTTTTGATTCTTTGTCATGATTTTTGCCAAGACCACATACTGACAATACCGAATTTTCGAATGGAATCCCATTGTTCCATTGTTCGCCTCAAATGGTAGAGGACTTTTGGGAAAATTCCCCAAAAAGTTACAGATGTGGAAAAGTTTTTGACCTTATACAAGGCGAGCATGAGGCCATAGCAACATTTTGACATTGGTACCAAGTGAGAACATATGTGATTATGCAGTGGAAGCCTCTGCGACAATGCTTTCAGATGGTGATAAGAGCACTTCACGAGTGGCGACAGAGGTATCTAAGAAAAAAAGAAAAATCGGTACTTTGGCTCAGAAGGCTTTGTCTCGCAAACAGGAATGAGGTCTTTGTGTTCTTTGGAAATTACGATGGTCAATTAGATTTGTAAAAAATTCCCCTATGAAATGTCTCATACATATTACTATTGTAATGTCACTAATCTATATCATGTTTTAATAATTGTTTTAAGCCAGTAAAAGAGCAAAACCAAGACGACCATTCATCTTTTGTATCCAGCATAGAATGCTCAAATTTTGCTATTTATCTTACTTCCATTGTCCTTTCTTTTCTTTTAGTTTTTGTATAAGATCATAGTTTATAGATTTAAGATCACAGATCAGATCAGTCTAGAAAAATATACTGTTTCCTTTTTTTAATGACTTAATTTTCATAGAGTGACATGGATATCACTTTTTAAGACCGTTTCCAGCCACACAATGCCCATTTCTCACTGTAATAGCAAGCAAGAGATTAAACCATAACATCATGAGACAAATCGAATGCACAAATCGAATGCATTAATGTTGGCACAGAACAGCACTGTTATTTAATGAATGGTAAGTTTTCATATTGAATAAATTAAAAACTCATTCAGAACAATATAGCTCACTGCCTGATTAGGTACATACATACATAGTTTTAATACATGTAATTATTGAAGGTAATCATAACATATATATACATGTTCCTCATACAATATAAGTGCCTTTGATATGCAGTACATTGGGCAGCGCATTTATTGACATGAAGGGGTACATAATTTGTAAGTTAGGGTTTTGAAATCAATTCTTAGAGACGATGGGAGACCACGTGAGATGCACGGTGGATGGCATAAAAAAGATTAAGGACAATTCCACAGATGAGATTGTCCTGCGTATTACAAAGATTGATTCCAAACCTGGAGATTTAGTGGGAAGATTCTGTGTAACAGATGAGAAGGAATGCTTGGAGGCATTTGGTTCTTATTGTGTGTCAAGTGCCATAGACTCTTGGGATGTCCGTGTAAATAGTCTTGTGAGATTTACTGATTATGGTTTTTGCACAACAAATGGAAAAGAGAATGTTGTCCCTGTTTACATTTCCATTTTATAACATATTTTGATATGTCACTCATTGTTTTGGACCTGTCCTTTATGGAGTGTGGTGAATGGAAACAAATACCAGCGAAAGATGTTGCTGGGGATCCTTTAACAGTAAATATTTATTCTTTCTTTCTTTATATTTTTTTTTATCTGACTTAGCAGTGTTTATTTTCTAAGGGTAAAAAAAGAAGTCAGAAGTTTAATCATAAGGTACATTACCATTTTTTTAATGATTTCTTCTAGTTTTATGCATGCAAAACATTTGATTTGTGATTTATTATTACATTTTTTTTTCTCTGTTTCATGTTAAGGGAGAGAGTTCTAAGAAGCTCATGATCAATGAGATGCCTATTAAGGATATCAACGACCACTGCTACCGTTGGTCTTTACGCGCCAGGGTGACACACAAAGGGAAACTTGTATTCTTTGAAACAGGCACAGTTGGGTGTGTTATGTCAGTTGATGTTGCCGATGCAGAAAGTTCTAAAATATGTATTGTTGGATTTGGTGAGAATGCAAAGCGTCTTTCAAGCGAGATTGAGCAAGGCAGTGTCTATATATTTTCAGGGTACAGTGGTGTGCAGCACTCTAAACCAGCATATACACCATATAAATCAAATTGGGAGATAAAAGCAAGCAAGACTATGGAGATCAAGCGTGTGGAGGACGATCTACGTATTCCAAATGTTGTTCTTAAAAGGCCGAAGATGAAGGTTTGGAAATTGAGGAGAAACTTGGTCGAGGGGAGAGGCCTATTGTATGCATGAAGGGTGGCCGGATTTCAGATTACAATGGCAAGTCTATTTCAGTCACAGGTGGCTCTACCCTTTTAGTTGATCCTGAATTAGAAGATGTCTCATGGCTGCATGAATGGATGGTTGCTAGCTACGACACAACCAATTTTGTCCATGTGACCAACTCTTCTTCTAAAGCAGTGATTTATGGTACAAAGACAGTATCTGAGATGTTGTCTATCAACCTGAAGGTTTCCGAGTTCTCCGCTATTTTTCGTGTTATTGTGTCAGTGAAAGAAATCCAGACTGGTGACTTCTATTACCCAGCATGCATGAAGGTTGTCAATGGAAGGCAATGTAGCAAGAAGGTTACTCAGGTTTCGGAAAGTATGTGGCAATGCAATTCTTGTGACAGTGATTCTGGAGATATTCAGCTCAAATATGCACTACACTTGTGTATTCTGGACAGCACTGGACATATATGGGCGGTTGCATTTGATGATGCTGCTAATGAAATTGTAGGGATGCCTGCATGTAAGCTGGCTGCGCTACAAGATGATGATTATACTAGTTTTTCAGCCATAATGGATTCTATTCGATCAAAGATGTACAATCTGAAGGTTTGTTGCAAGCTCGAGAGCTATAGAGATACCGAAAAATTGAAGTTTTTTATAGTTGGACTTGACACTTAAAAGAAAAAATGTGAGAGAAAACAAAAGTATGTTTTATTTCTTTCTACTTTCGTTTTATAATTTGTTGTGTGTGGTATCAGGTTTCTAAATATAAGCCAAGTTGGAGCTTTCAGAACTAATGTTGTGTAGAAGTTGATGAATGATTAAAAGCTCTAACGTTCGACTTTATCCCTGTCGTTTAATTTGAAAGCCAACAATTTATGTGGTTATAATATATTAATTATAATTCTATCAAAAAATGTCAACTGGCTCATAGTTGAATAGGAAGAAAACTGATCTTGAAGAGTGTGGACAACAGGTTAGAATATTAGAAACTGGCAAGCATGCAAGATGGATGAAGAGGATGATTCTCTCGAGGTTGTTGAGATTCCATGGGAAGATTTTGGGTACTAGCTGTACTGGGGTAAATACAAACAAAAAAATAAGTTTTTCTTAATTGTTTTTAAACTTAATTTATAGGTACCCGGATGGTTCGAAATTGATAAGCTATGACCCATGTTAATCCACACTGTCTGTAGTTCATGTAGCACGAGTGTTACACGGTGAATTGATAAAGACATGGCTGCATGTTCTTCTTGCAATTATGTTGGTCCAGTAAAACAACTTCTATCATTGAAAGGCATATTACACATGCAGGAGACAAACAAAAATGTGGGCATTCCATCTTATATGTTGGATGTTTTATACAAGTTCAAGTCTCCATTTTTAACTTGCTGGAACAAAAACTCCACCAAAACAAAGAAGAAAATGATAATGAATCCACCACATGGCAGTTTCTTATTGGGAGAATCTGATGATATAATAGCGTTTGCATCATCCACTCCAGTAAAAAACATCCATATTGCAAAGGAACAGTGAGCCCATGCTCATTATACTTTCTGCTATCACAAGATGTCTATGTAAAAGTACTGTGGTTGATTTATTAGCAAGCGATGAGTTTATGGATGATTGTGTTGTAAAGTCAAAACTCATCAAATATGACATAAACCATAGAAACTATCATTGTACAATAGTTGAATGTTAACTACACTTATATACGATTAATTAAATATGGGATTACAAACCATATCCACTTCAAGATATAAATCATAATAATAATAATAATAATAAAGGTTTCCTTCTAAATCAATCAGAGCTGGATTATCCCAGGCATTGGCAATCGCGGGGGACCTTGCTGTTCCAGGGCTATGATGGATCGATTCTTCTTGACTCAACTCCCACTGATGGAACTAAAGTGGAAAAATTGTCACTTCATGTCTGCCAGGAGCTTTGAGATGATCAAGGAAGCAAAGCAGAGGTTGGAAGCAGCTTTTCCTTTTCACTTTTTCTGCTTCTTTCATGTTTATGGTAGCCAACTTATGTGAAATTACAGCTCTTGGAATCTTACGAACAGTATGTGAAGAATGTCCAGGGAATAAGAAACTATAAGGTGTAGTATGACATTTTCTTTTTGTAATACATAGCTAGATAGTTACATTATTCTGCCTGTTGTAGCCTCTGTGGCTTTTCTTGACTTTCAAACAATGAAATTTATGACATCCCCTTCACCTGAACTGATCCCACCACTTCGCACTGCAACAATTGCACACCTTCTCCAGGTTTTAAATTTAAATTTGTATGAATTCTGGTTTAGTTTGCATCGGAGCCTTGCATAAATAATAAGAGATTAATTCTAAGCGAGGGTTCTTTAGGCCAAATAGTTAGTTATTTCTAGGTCAAGAAAGAGAAATAAAATGGAGAGAGGATTAGAAGGTATGTTTCTGGTAGATATAAAAATTACAAAGAGGAAACACACTACCACAGAAACAGAAAATCAACAAAACAAAAGGAAGAGAAGGAAGGCTAAAGAAAGACTAGAAGTTGTAATGAAAGAAACAGGTATTCTGTACAAACCCTAGGACGTAGGTAGGTGACCACATAAATAAAGAAGAAAATTAGCAGTTTTAAAAAGATACACTAAGAAGGAGGAGGAATCAGGCATCAGAAGGAGTGATTAGAACTGCAATGCATTCACAGCAAACACCTACACAAGAGACATGCCAAGTATGAATATTGGAATTCACACTTTGAATGAACAAGAAACAAATGCAAATAATATAACTGAATTTGCACATGAAAGAACGTGTACAGAGAATGAGGAGATAATAGTTCAGCAACCAAGTATACATATGGGATTACTGCAATTCAACAACAATGGTCACTGCGAGACAGATTATATAGGAGCTATGGATAAACATTGTGTATATTGTAAAACTTTTCTTTTTAAAAAAGAGACTCAAAGTCAATGTTGTCATGATGGATGCGTTCTCATAGTCGATAACTTTCAGTTTCCATTGCTGATTCATGACTTGCTATGTGGTACAACACACCGAGGACATTTTAGAGAGCTCATACAAAAGAAATCAACACCTTCACGCATCCAATATAATGAAACTGAATATATATTATAATATATATTTATGACCGATATATATACCCAAATATATATAGGTATGATATATGTTAACATATATAGATATATGATAATACACCATATACATGATAAATGTATTACCATAACATATTATAATATATGCTAATAATTAACGTAGGATTATTAATCATTCAATAACTCCTCTTGTTATGTTGACATCTAACACAAGTATAACAACTATTTATCAAAACATTTATAAAAATAATATTTACAGGTATGGTTTATATTAATTTTAATATGAGTATTGTAGAAAACTCTACTCTTGAAGATTAAATATGATTTACAAAATTTATTTTTATTATAAAAATCCTCCAAAACTAATGACATTTTAAAAATTTCCTCAAGTATGTGTATGTTTTAGATATTTATATCATCAAAAATTTCTCTAAATAGAAAAATAAATTAGTTTGTAACATAATAACATTTCTTGTAACATAATAACATCATACAAACTATTGACGAAAGTGAGAAGTTCTTAACACTGCATATTAGTGACAATCCAAATGGCACATTCATATCCTTTGATACCTACATTATTAACATATCATTGGAAGGGATCGAAGAGGGTGGTTGCCAGAGAAGTCTACAAGCACAACAACTTATGATTGCCAATATAATCCAACTTTATTTTATACAATATGCAACTTAGAGGTATAACAAGATTTCCAAAATCTTTCCTAAATATATTGTTTACAGTTTGATATAAAGGCATACCACATGAGGTACTAGTTTGCACTCGACTGGGTGTAAAGGATGGAGGAATGTACCCAACAATATTTACGAAAGTTTCAAAAACACAAAAGATAAAATGTCCTTGGGAATTTGAGCTCCTAAGGAAAAAAACCTTTACACTAGAGCAAAAAGAAGTTGTAAATGCTGGCAACAATAGCAATATAAGTAACAATGGAAAGGAGGATAAGGAAGCTTTAGATCAAACTCACATTCCACCACAAAATGGCTAGGATCAAACTCTAATTCCATCATCAGATATTTAGGATTTAGATTAAGTTCCAGTAGCAAATGACAATGATTATATGGTTCATAAATATAACTTTGACCTTGGTAAGCTATCATATAATGATATTAAAGGACTAAACTCAATATTGTGAAGGTTCTTGATATTAACAAGTGCAAACCAATTACACAAGTTTCTCAAACCAAGCCAAGTATGCTCAACAAAAAACACATAAAGGTTTTAATCTTATGTTTATCCAATTTAAATGCACATGCATTAACTAATTTCTCAACTAACTCAAATGAGAACTATAAAGGGAATCAACTATACTAACCGGCTAACAAATATCTTTGATACCCAAAGTCACATTCATGACAATTAATGAGTATGATTACTCATGAATTAACTCACTTGCTATTAGTTACTGATTACTCACTCATATACATAATGATTACTCACTAGTTGTCACAAATGTTACTTCAGGTATCAAAAAATATTTGTTAGCCGAGTAAGTATTAGTGAGTTAGTCAGTAACTAGTAACATTGAAATAAAGACTCTTAATTGCATTATGTGAATATAAGTAATGATTACTCATTTGTGACAACTAGTGAGTAGACATGATTATGAGTGGATCAATCTGTAACACACGTGGTTTTGACCCTTTATCCTATGGCGATTTATCATAGGATAACACCATGAAGCGGAACCTAAACCCTCTTTATGCCACGTGACACATGCCATGTGTCATATACCATGTGTCCAAAGGACAGTGGTGCGGAACCCGAGGTTCAAGGCCTTGGGCCACTGAACGAAGGAACGGTACCAAACTCCCAAGAATGGAGCCAAGGAGTCATGGAACCAAACCACAGAGCAACTCCCGAGCATACAGCCCAAGGAGCGAAGGGACAGGAGCCTGGAGCAACTTGGAACAATCCTGGAGCAACCAGCATCCCAATGCGAGGACTAACATGCAAAACGGAGCCAAATGGAGTCTGGCACTATTTCGACATACCGGTGGCCTAACGCGAGGACATGGGTACTCCACCAGCTAGCATGGAATGGAACTTGGGCTTAGACCCAAGCCAGACGCAGAACAAGGATAAGCACGCAAGCGGGAGCTACACTATGCCTTAGGTTGGTCGGCCATGCCCGACCTACCCACTATCTCTACTATACATTTGGAACCCCCCACATCCCCCCCCCCCCCCCCCGCCCCCTTGAGGAACGCACGCTTTTGGCTTTCACCCCAAGCTTCCCTTAGTATTAGGAGTTAGTCTCTGGGACAAGCTCCAAACTTACTAAATATGGAATGTCCTTAGATTGCGAATTTGGACACGGGACGAACACCGTTGTGTTCAGAACAATCTCTACATTCCGTAGATATGCCAAATGAGCAAATCTGGACACTTTCTATAAATAGCATTTGGGACCGAATTGAGACTAACGCTAAAGGCATGATAGCGAGGGTGTTTGGCAGACACAGTAAGTTATCATCTAGC